TTGTTACCGACCAACAACCGCTTAAGCATCTATTGGAGCAAAGGATTGTTACCCCCGAGCAGCAGAAGTTCGTATCTAAGCTTATGGGGTTTGACTTTGAAATAATCTAACAACTGGGTCGACAGAATGCAGTAGCTGACGTACTATCCCGACGAACGGATGTAGCCGAGCTGAATGCTATCACTAGGCCAGCTTGGACTATTTGGGAGGAAATCAGGAAGGCGCAAGTAGAGGACACCTATTGCCAGGAGCTGCGCCAATCGATAGAAGCAGGTAAGACGACTGCTATCGACTACGAGTTGCATAAAGGTCTGCTTCTACACCGAGGTCGTGTCTACGTTCCCAACAGTGGGCAGTTACGTGAGCAGATCATGCGGCACTTCCATGACTCTAAAATTAGAGGCCACTCGGGTATCTATCGCATGTGGATGAGAATAGCCAACACTTTCTTCTGGCCCGGACAACAGAGTACCGTCCGAGACTACATTGCACGATGCGATGATTGCCAGTGCACTAAGTCTGACTCACGACGACCGAGCGGGCTGTTGCAACCACTACCAGTACCCGAGGCGATCTCGGAAGACATTACTATGGATTTCATCAAGGGGTTACCGAGTTCCAATGGGTTTGACGACGTTATAGTTCTAGTGGATCATCTCACAAAGTATTCTCACTTCATACCCATTACCCATCCTTACACCGCAAAGTCTATTGCCAGGTTATTTGTGGAGTATGTGATGAAACTGCATGGAGCACCGCGATCCATTGTCTCTGATCGAGATCGGATTTTCATGAGCAGCTTTTGGTCTGAATTCTTCAAATTGCAAGGGACTAAGTTGACTATGAGCTCGGCCTACCACCCACAGATAGACAGACAAACGGAGGTAACTAACCGAACCCTTGAGCAGTATTTGAGATGCTACGTCCATCAATTCTCAAAGCGGTGGGAAAACTTTTTCCCCTGGGCTGAGTATTGGTACAACACCACTTACCACGAGTCGACCAAGATGACGCCATTTGAGTTGGTATACGGGCAAAAACCCCCGACACTGATTAATTATTCGGAGGGGAGTACAATCAATGACGAGGTTGGTCGAGAACTAGAGGAACGAGATCTGATGTTGCGAGAATTGAAGAAAAATCTCGAAGGCTCAATTAATCGAACCAAAGCCTTCGCAGATGGGAAAAGGCGTGAGGAAAATTTTGTACCAGGCGAGTATGTCTACCTGAAGCTACGACCATTCAGACAATGCACCACAGCACAAAGAGCCGCAACTAAACTGGGCGTTCGCTATTATGGGCCTTATCAGATTCTGAAGCGCATTGGTCAGGTAGCTTACCGTCTAGAGTTACCGGAAAGTTGACAAATCCACCCAGTTATCCATGTCTCATAACTCAAGAGGAGGCTAGGAGAAGCGCAGAAGTATTGTGAGGAGTTACCAGCAACCGCAACCGATGGCAGGGCCATAGTACGCCCAAAACGAGCGATTGAGTACCGTAAGGTAAAGAGAGCAGGGCGCTACTGTTGGGAAGTACTAGTTGACTGGGAAGAGTTGCCATCCGAAGAAGCCACGTGGGAAGATCTTGAAGAGATGCGCGATCAGTTCCCGAACTTCATCCTTGAGGACAAGGATTCACTTGAAGGGGACGGGAATGATGCGGAAGTGGCTAGACAGCTCAAGAACGCTGCGGGCCGGGCGTATCACGCACGAAAAAGGGCAGCCCGAGTGTAACACCCCGCTAGTCTACTAAAATCAGAGTGCGATTTTCGCAAATTCTTTTCTAACGTTTACGTTTTAGTTTGCGAAATATATCTCGGGATGGTACACCAAAATATTTCTTTTCTAAAAATCCGTTAACCTTATTAACTTTCTAGAATCACTCACGAAAAACAAATTATCTTTTATAGAACAAGCGTGTGACACTGTATAAAACCTCACCGAAAACTCGGATCGTCGTATGAAAATTTACACGCTAGTTTGGAAGTCTGAAAACGTCAGCGGAAGTAAAATGTGGAAAATATATACATATCAACAGTCTGCAAAAATATATACATATCTACATGTACTGGACCGGCGACCACCAGCTCAACTCACTCCTACGGACCGACCCTGTCACCTGAAAAGATAATAATAGTGGGAGCGTGAGTACTAAAAACACTGTACTCCGCAGAAACTCATACTAAAGTAAACATTAATAATAATATCAATATCATGACTGCAGATATATATAAGTAAACTGTAATCTGTAAACTCCAGACACTAGGTCTGTACTGAACTGGCCATGTGCACACTCTGATGGGCAATTAAGGCTATGCGCCTCCACCAGAACTCTGGATGGGCAATTAAGGCTACTGCGCCTCCACCCAAAGTGGAATAACTGATATACATACCTTAAAACATGATAGAGCAATTATAACCAATG